TATATATATATATATATATATATATATATATATATATATATATATGTGTGTGTGTGTGTGTGTTTACATACATACAAGATTCATGGAACTCTGCACACTAATAACTTGCGTACATGCTTCTTGTTGATGGCATTAAAATCATTTCTAATAGCGGTGGATGTGGAACAACTCTCACCGATTTACATGAAAGACAAACGCTCCGCACGACGTACGTCAGCGGGTCGGAGCGCTGACACAGTATGTGGAATCTGGGGGTAACCATCACATAACACAACATCAGACCTTAGGAGTCAACAGTTACTTCAATTAGTTTGGCTCCGGTGAGACTCAGCCTCTCTGGTCTGAAACTGACTGACTAATCACAGTCTGGGAGCTTTCCTTATGTAGGAAAACATGGAGGAACTTCAGCCTCTTTCCCACTGAGAACAGCAGCTTAACGGGAGTTTTTCTATCATTGATCAACCTGCTAACAATCAGCATTTGACTCTCTTCCCATTGGCTATTAAAGCTGGTCTAACCACTCACTAGTGTGGCGTGTCTAGTGACGACATCACGGTGGGTTGGCGTTGATGATGTCACCAGTGTGACAGAAATCAGGGAAGTAAACAATGGAGAGCACCATGTCAGGAAGCCAAGGTGTAGTCAGTGAGCTTTATTGTTTCTATTATCTGCCTGACTCCCTCTCCCCAGAGCTGCTCAGAAAAGTTCTCCACTGTGAGATCAATCAATCAATCAATCAATCAATCAATCAATCAATCAATCAATCAATCAATCAATCAATCAATCAATCAATCAGCCAGCAGGAAAGGGTTAAAAGTCTCTGTGTTGCCTGGTGCGCCTCAGGCCTCCTCCAGCAGAGGAGGAGTCTGGGGTCTGCTGAGGCTGCTGCCCTTTGACCCCGATAAGAGAAAGACCATGAGTATGTAATATATATCTAAAAATAAATCACTAGATAAGTCAAATATACCTTCATATAAATATATATTCGAACAAATCCTAAAACGTATTTATATAAATATATACTGAAACATACGATTTAAATAAATAGATCTTAATATTGTTATCTATTTAACTTTTTTATCTATTTAACATTAAATAAACTTTATCTTGATCTTTATAGTTTTCTCCGTGTTCCTGGTTGTGGGTGGGCGGGGTTCCATAGATGGCGGCGTGTTGGTGTGAGCCGTACGTACGGTAGGTCCTGATCCAACCATTCCTGCCCGGCTGTAGAACCTGGGATCAGGGGTCGGTTCAGAGACATTCCCATGAGCCTCACCTCCACCCTGCTCTTGTAGAAATGGACGTCGTTCAGCTTCTCTCTAAATCTGTTCAGCTCAGCCTCCAGGCGATCTCCTCGAGCCGCTCGCTCCCTCAGAGAGTCCACTTCGTCCCGGTACAGGCGGACCGACCGCGCCTCGCACGACAGAGCCTGGTTCTGAACCACAGACACACCGATAAGCAGAACTGGAGGATCAGAGTGTGAAGAACATCAGAAGAAGGTCAGACCTCTTGTTTGAGTTTCTGCAGCTCCTGATCCAGACGCTCTGCCTCGTGTTTTGAATCCATCAGTTGTTCCGTTTTCTCCTCCCTGCAGACATGAAAACGTTCAGAAGGTGCTGATCCAAACTGGTCCCGCCTCTAAAACCCAACCAAATTTTATCAGACTCCAAGTTCCATTTGATCCCAGTTACCCAGCAATAGAGTCTAGTTCTGTTCTTCCCTCCAACTGGTTCTGATGGGAGAACCCTGGAGGTGAGGTGGAGGAGCAGACTGGAGGCCGACCATTTAATCAGCGTCTGGATCCTAAATCGACTTCGGCCAAAATGCGGCC